GAAAATGGGAAGAAGAAAGAAAATGGGAAGGAGAAAGAAAATGGGAAGAAGAAAGAAAATGGGAAGAAGAAAGAAGAAAGAAAATGGGAAAAAGAAAGAAAATGGGAAGGAGAAAGAAAATGGGAAGAAGAAAGAAAATGGGAAGAAGAATGAAAATGGAAAGAAGGGGAAAATGGGAAGAAAGAAGAAAATCTTTTAAATTAGAATTTTAAAAAAATTTTGGAATCTAATTGTTTAAAAAGAGATCAAAGAAAAAATTGAAGATGCAAAAAAGGAAGATATAAGAAGATTAGATAAACTAGAAAAATTAAATCCACATTCAAATTTTGTACGCAAAGTTTAGGTTTAATTTGCGGAATGGATCTGTGGGATAAAAAGATCTTTTGATGTGAACAGTGTGACCCATGTAAAGTACAAAATATTGTTTAATAAAATTATATATAGATATATAGATAGATATGTGGATGGTTAGATAGATAGAAAGATAAAAAGAAAGATGAGGTAGATAGATAAATAGAAAGATAAAAAGAAGATATTTAGATAGCTTGATAGATAGATAGATAGATAGCTTGATAGATAGATAGATAGATAGATAGATAGATAGATAGATAGATAGATAGATAGATAGATAGATAGATAGATAGATAGATAGATAGATAGATAGATAGATAGATAGATAGATAGATAGATAGATAGATAGATAGCTGAGATTAGAAAGAATAAAACAAGGGATCCACCCTTCCGCTCCATACAATACAAGAATATATGCAATATATAACAAACATATACATAAATATATAAATATATATATTATATACATATATATTTAGGCTAGTTATACGCTTAGAAATTACTAAATGTGTAGATTTGTCTTTGTAAAAATTTAGTGAATTTTTCTGGGATTTTAATTTCAGAAGCTGTTTTTTACAGAGTGTTGTTATTATTTGATTTAGAAAAATAAAAACACGAATTAAATAAAAAATGGGTTCAAAATACCCTAAAGATATTGTATTGAATAGCCTAGTAGTTTATCAATAGATTTTCCACCGTTTAAGCAGATTAGCAAAAAGATGCAAAAAGCAAGATAATCTTGCAATTTAGTTTTCAGATATTTGAAGGTTATCTGGGTTCTTCAACCCTATTTGGACATTAGGATCTGTACAGTGAAACATTAGGATCTGTACAGTGAAACATTAGGATCTGTACAGTGAAACATTAGGATCTGTACAGTGAAACATTAGGATCTGTACAGTGAAACATTAGGATCTGTACAGTGAAACATTAGGATCTGTACAGTGAAACATTAGGACCTGTACAGTGAAACATGTAAAACAGTGAAGTAGAAAGACGACTGTTAGACTCATGTTATGATTTTAAATTATCCAAAACAGGAAAAACAGCAACTTTGTAGTATGGACATAACTCTTTTACATTGTTTTTGAGCTATTACAGTGAAACCCTTAATGCAAATACATCGGAAGAATTTATCAAATGTCGTCATGACAATTTTTCAATGAGTTTTATACTATATTACGTAAATTTCAGTATTTTCGGAAATAAATAAATAGCCATGAAAATGCGGAACAGTTTTAAAGAGTTCCATATAATCATTTAATTAAAAAACTATATATCTGCAACATTCCATTATCAGAAAGTGAAGAATACTACATTTGATGAATTCTTTCGATGTATTCGTTAGTAAGGGTTTCACCGTATAATAATTACTCAATAACAACATCAAGAACACATTAGATTGTTTGGATGCAGTTTCCATATTTCACAGTTTATAGATATTTGAGAAGAAATAAGAAAATAAGTAAGAATAAACTAATATCAAAAAGAGGTAAATATCTTTTTTCTGTGCCATTTTATACTTTTTCAAGTAGCTTCGAAAATAGTTTTTTTTTAATTCGCTTAAATGCGGTCTTTATGTTAAAAAAAAAGTTTGTGGCGAAAATTTAAACAACGACTTACATTCTCGTTTTTTTTTGTCCCCGCTTGATTCATAATCCTGGGGAACAGGGGGGCAAATCCCTCCGCCCCCTCCCATAGACATATCCATAGTTATCATTTCATCAACCTTGTAACAGAATATAGATTAAATATATGGATAAATAATAGGGATTAATGTTAAAAAATATGAGCAGAAAAGAATAAAAATTCAATTTCAATGAATTTAAAAGTTTTAAAAACAACTAAGTTTAGGAAATAAATTGTTCACAAATTCAAGAAAAAAAGATTATTTTTTATCGAAAAAAATGCTAGATTTAGAAAATAAAAAATGTCTAAATACGATCGAAAAAATATGATTTTTTGACCTGCTGTACGGAATAAATTGGATGGTGATATTTTATTATTAAATTGGATGGTGATATTTTATAATTAAATTGGATGGTGATATTTTATAATTAAATTGGATGGTGATATTTTATAATTAAATTGGATGGTGATATTTTATAATTAAATGCTAGAATTGAAAAAAAAAATGTCTAAATACCTGTTGTCCAGAATAAATAGAATTGTGAGGGGTTCTTCTGTCTTCTGTATACGCGATCAGTGGCGGGGGGTGGGGAGTTCGCCGATCTTCTGTGTATGATAGTTGTGGAGTTCGGCGATCGTCCGTGTATGGAATGTGGGGAGTTCGCCGATCGTCTGTGTATGGTATGTGGGGAGTTCGCCGATCCTCTGTATATGAGAGTTGGGGTGTTCGGCGATCATCCGTGTACGGAATTTGGGGAGTTCGGCGATCGTCTGGTTCAGTTTTCCAATTTTGATAATCTACACCGATATTACTGGCCACCTAAACAAAGCAAATAGTTAAGCAAAATTATTAAAGAAAAATTTAAAGGAAAAGAAAAACGAAATCAAATATATTTCTTTATTTTTACATTTTTTTTCAAATATAAAAAGGGAATCGAATTTAAAATCGGTTCAAAAACGTTGAAACAAATAACCTTCTGTGATTTTTGAACAACATATAACTCTCTAACTTCTGTGCTTTTTTCTTTTTAGTTCAAGTATTGTTATAAAATTTGGCCAAATTTTTACTTTTTCTCTGGAATTTGTGAATGCACATTGCCTTGATGCATTTATCATGAAATGGTTCACGGCACGCTTTAATTCTGATGTACAATATAATTTGTTCTACATGTTGAGCACAATTAGGACTAGGAGATTATGCTGATTTCTTGTACATATTATGCCGCCAAATTTCTACGGAAAGAATTTAATAATAAAACAAAATGTAATAAAGAAAGCACCACATTTATGTGATGCAAGACCAGTTTTGTGGCCTACATCGTTTACGATACCTCCAATGCTTCGTTGAGCTTTCCTGCTCTCTTAGCGTAAAAATCCGCAAGTTTGAATCTCCGATTGTACACTGTACACGTTACACGGATGGACGGGCACTACTGGGAGCTACTCCGCGCATCCAGCCACTTCAGCGGATAAATAGTGGTCAACACCCTGAGGGGGGAGAGGGGGGGGGCACTGACGTCGCCACGACCTGTTGGCTTTCAACGACACCGGCTTCATCTATGATTTCCTGTCCGAACTTGCAAGGTTTGCCTGGAGGGTTTTGCTTGGGAAAATATCTAGATGAATGGAATAGCAAGGGATTCATGTATTCCCACAACACTCTGGGTTATTTATAATCTAGTACTATACACCTTCAAGAATATATAAAGAAGAATAGTTTTGAAAGATTTACCTAGAGTAGATCGTATACAAGAAATATGGAATGAAAAGTATCACGTCCAAGCAATAGATATCAAATTCTAATTCAGATGTTACAATTGTTTCTTTAAGATTGCCAAATCTCTATTCAAATCTAGATTTCCAAATGAAAGTTTGTTTATGTACAATTATGTGACTTTCGAGGTGAGCTTAAATATTGAATTAGAAGTAATTATTACTGTTTGTAAAGTGTAAAATTTAATGATGCAATTTATAAAGTGGTTAATATTAATTCTATATCACTTTCTGTTGTAATTATTTTGTTAAAGGGACTGTAGATGAAATTTCAAGTGAGTCTCCATTTATAGAGTGGAGTGTTCGATTAACAACGGTGCCCTTAAAGCTTTGACTGATCACGTATAAATGAGCAATCCGTGTCTCTCTTCTAGATCAGTAGTAGAGATTATTTTTTATTGTGGTTTTGCAAACACTTTTTAATCCAGAAAAATGACGTTATTTCCCACATTAACGCAATGTGTTTTTAAGGGTCTCAAACTAAAGCTAACAAAAAGGTGCTTTATAGTGCTAAAATTTACATGGAAAGGGCTACAGAAAAGTTAACTGAGTTAGAGCGGTAAAATCAAATTACAAGGCGTTGCGACACTTCAAAGTCGACCTTGTCTTAAAAATTGATGGGACTCATCATAAGCAGGCTGAATCTATGTGAACGATCAGATTCGGGTTTGAAAGGGTTTCGTTGTGAATCGAACATGCCCCTGGAGGGTCACTTGAAATTACAAGGAAGGTTTAGGTTTAGAGTTTACCATGAAGGTTTAGGTTTAGAGTTTAACATGAAGGTTTAGGTTTAGAGTTTAACATGAAGGTTTAGGTTTAGAGTTTAACATGAAGGTTTAGGTTTAGAGTTTAACATGAAGGTTTATGTTTAGAGTTTACCATAAAGGTTTAGGTTTAAAGTTTACCATAAAGGTTTAGGTTTAAAGTTTACCATGAAGATTTAGGTTTAAATTAGAACATTAAGGTTTTAACTTTAAGGTTTATTTGTAACTATTTTTCTTTGTGTTTAGTTCTCACGGTAAACCTGAATACTTTGTTTCATCCCTCTCTTCATTACAAAGATTTACCTATACTACCCTTCCCCCTTCTCCTCCCTCCCCTCCTGTTCAACACCCTTCTCCTCATCTTCTAACCCCTCCCCCCTCCATCTTGCACCTTCTCCAATCTCTCCTTTATCAATACTTACCTTCTCCATTCTTCCTCTCTTTCCCTTCTTACCTCCATTTCTTTCTCCCTTATTTTCCCCTTATACCTTCAAACTTTTCTTCCCCCTTCTCCCTTTTATCCCCCCCCTCCTCCTTATTATTTTCTTTCCCCTCCCCTTCTCTATCTACATCTGATTTTCTGATTTGTTGAATTTAAACGTTAAATTATATATAATGAAGATTTCATCAATATCTCCATAATTACAGTGCTGTCCTTATCGTCCTAACAGATTATTCAATTGCTGAACTCTACAAATAAAACCTCCCTTTTAACGGTTCAGGTTCAAATTAACCGAGGGACTTTAGATTAAATTTCAGGGGATTTTCAGTGTCTTAAATGGGATATCCGATCTACAATGGTACCCTTAAATGGGATATCCGATTTACAATGGTACCCTTAAATGGGATATCCGATCTACAATGGTACCCTTTAATGGGATATCCGATTTACAATGGTACCCTTAAATGGGATATCCGATCTACAATGGTACCCTTAAATGGGATATCCGATCTACAATGGTACCCTTAAATGGGATATCCGATCTACAATGGTACCCTTAAAATCTTTGTCTTTTAAAGTTTGATTTATAAGTTCATGTTTTTCTCTTTAAACCACGTTATTTTCAATTGCGGTTTCATATATCAATGCGACGTGTGGCATTTCTGTTAAATAAATACTACAGGACTTTTAAGTAAATATAGAACAGTCCCTTACATGATTTTTTTGTCTTTTAAATCTTAAGTTTTTGCTGAAGTGTCTCCATGAGTTTGTATTTAAGTTGCTAATGACCCTCTGGAGTTTTTTTTACGGATTTTTATCTGAAAAGCTTAGGCGGTTTTGCTTCTTTTATTAAACTCTGTAATGCCTTAATACGCTATACATCAAGTTCTGTTAGGGGGTTGTCAATTTAAAAAGATAAACGTTGTAAATTTGATGGTTTAAAAATGTTTTTCAGAGGAAATACATACTATCCTACTATCCTACTATACCATTCTTGGACTTCGAATCTTAATATTTAGTTATAGATAACGACACGATACAAAAAACAATGATGATAACAAAATGATGATTACGTTTTTTACTTCATTTGTTTGAAGAATAAAGTGGAGGAACTTTGAACTTCAGAAAAAAAGAGTAATTAAGTGAATTAATGAGTTAGCTAATGAATGATATATCATGAAGGATTAATTGTATTTCCACGTGAGAAATCTATTTCCTGTTTCTAGATTTTCCAGTTTCCGGTAGAAAATTGTATTTTTCAGTTTTAGTCCTCTTATCTTTCCGATTATTATCTTTCTCTTACAATGGAACCCATAAAACTGTGGAAAAAGAAGACGACTGTTGGAATCACATTATGATTTTAAATAGTCTAATAAACATGAAACACAGCCATTGTGCAGTGATATGCTTAACACACATTACACAAACTTGATTTTTAAGCTACTGGTTAATTTCGACTGTACATTTCGGTTTGATTCAAGTACAGGGCCGACTTTTAAGCAACTACATCAAGCATTACAGTACACATACAGACTAGAGTTACTAAATGAATCAGCACCTTTAAGGCTCATGTAACATAAGATATAATTACAAAATATATAATAACAAAGCATATACTATGTTTTGCAATTATATATTTTGTAATTATATCTTATGTTACTGAACCCCCTTTAAGGAAGATTCAAGTGTACCTGGTCAAATTTGAAGCAGCTAGAGCAAGCTGTATTAGACATACAAACTTTTTAATACAAAACGGAACAGTTCACTAGATGAATCATCCCCATGTAGTGACAGTTAAGTCCTGCATCCTGTATCCTGTATCCTAAGACCTGTATCCTGAGACCTGTTTCCTGAGTCCTGTATCCTGAGACCTGTAACCTGAGCCCTGTATTCTGAACCCTGTATCCTGAGACCTGTAACCTGAGCCCTGTATCCTGAACCCTGTATCCTGAGACCTGTATCCTTAGCCCTGTATCCTAAGACTTGTATCCTGAACCCTTATCCCGAGACCTGTATCCTAAGACCTGTATCTTTCTGTATCCTGAGACCTGTATCCTGAGACCTGTATTCTGAGAACTGCATCCTGAGACCTGTATTCTAGGACCTGTGTCCTGAGACCTGTATCCTGAGACCTGTATCCTGAGACCTGCATCCTGAGACCTGTATCATGAGACCAGTATCCTGATTCATGTATTCTATATCCATCTTCATCGTAAGACCTTTATCCTGTATCCACCTGTATCCTGAGACCTTATCCTAAGACCTGTATCCACCTGTATCCTAAGGCTTGTATCCTGAGACCTGTATCCTGAGACCTGTATCCTGAGACCTGCATCCTGAGACCTGTATCATGAGACCAGTATCCTGATTCATGTATTCTATATCCATCTTCATCGTAAGACCTGTATCCTGTATCCACCTGTATCCTGAGACCTTATCCTAAGACCTGTATCCACCTGTATCCTAAGGCTTGTATCCTGAGACCTGTATCCTGAGACCTGTATCCTGAGACCTG